TTTACTTATGAAAGCAGGAATTCAACGTTGTATCGTTAACTATCTATTATTACACCTTTGGTGAAAGATATAATAATAAATTTGTACGATATTGACCTCTTACAATGTATCTTTATCGTTTGGGATTCATCACAAAGAAACATCATAATCGTGATTAATGTCCATCCAAGGTTTTTTTTTTATAAACCCGATATTTTTATCTCCGGAAGTTGTATGTAGGCCGTTCAACCAACAGGAAAGCGATTTAACTTCTTTCTTTTTCGAATTAACTGTTTTTTTCGTGGTCTAAATACTCTAAAATCCATTTCCAAAAATCATCAAACTTTAATTGTTGCGTTTTAAATGATTAAAAAGCGTGAAAGTTCCTTTTTTTAGAAAGTACAATAATTGTTGTTAAAAATTACAATTTAAATTTAATTGTATAAATAAAAAAGGATGCCTAAAGTTAATGGTTAAATTGGCCGTAAACAAAGTGACATTTTCTTTTATTATGTTCGGTTGAGTTGACCTCATTAGGTTTTAATTTGCATATTGTAGATAAAATGCAAATTAGTTTGAATATTTACCTGAAATAAACTTGGGTTGAAAAAAAAATAACTATTTAGTATCATAACGAGGAGCGTAATTTTAATATTTGCCGATAAATTAAAAAATAATTATGGTTTATTTTTTTATTAATTAGTTGAGACAAGCCGTGTTCGATGGATATTATAAAAATGTACTATGTGTTGATACAAAGGAAATACATGTCCTTGAAAGCACATTTATTTTAATATTCATTCCGGGATATTTTATACTCTTGAATACAAACTACCTGCTTATCTGACACTGCATTTGTAATTTATTTTACCATCTATATTTGTCTTATAAAAATTTAAATCTAAAATATATCAAATATATTAACTATTGAACTTTTAAAAATTATTTGAATTAAAACAATCATGTTAATTTAATTCATAATGACGTACTTCTTATGATATCCATCAATTCTAATCAGGTGCATTGATGGATATCATAAGAACTGCTTCATTTCCATCGTGGTGATATCACGATTTAGGTTGTTTCTGAACTAAATAATTGTCATTACACCCTGTTTTTTGACCCAATTGGATGACGTAGTCTCATACTACTTACTAGTAACTGTGCTACTTAATTGTAGCTGAGATACGCTTTATCTTCCATTTTTTGAGTAGTAGAAATGACCCAACTTATTGACTAGACTCCACTTCTATATTTTTACTGTATTTTATTTTATTTGTTTGCGTTGACCTTTACATGTATAAAACAATTGATGGACTAGACCGTAATGTTTTCTCGTCATGCAATACTTTGAAAAGTTGCATAACAATTTGTACAAAGATAATTATAATTAACTGAGAGTACGTATGAGTGTCGATGGTCTTAATCTTCTATAGCAGGATGAATAGGTTCGTCAGCAGAAAAGAAATCGGGGAGCTCAATGCAGATAAAAACAAAAATCAATTGAGACAAAGCAAAAGCATTCAACTCGGGATCATATGCGGATGATACCAATGTATCAAAGTCATTGCAGTGGGATTAATAACACTCGAACGTTAAATTTAAAATCTCGTTGAGTCTGGATTTTTGAACAATTTTCTTATTTGTCCCCCAACAAATATACACCTTCTTTCAGTTTTTCTTCACTCAATTTGGGAAACTTTTCTTTCAAATGATCCAAAGATGTATCCAAAGCTTTTGCAAAGTTCTTTATAAGACCTAATTTGATATGAATGGAGTGGATGAATGGAACCAATGGAGTGTTTTTCACATTTTCTTTTCCAGCATAATGGTATAGTGGTTCTTAGTGGCACGGCTGTCCCATAAGCATAAAAAACAGCAATATCTCGTGAACCCATTATGTAAATCTGTGAGGAGTACAACTATTAAATCACAGTAAAGTTGCCATTCATGATCCTTATATTTGCTTGCCTCTAGCAGCAAAGCTATGGTGTCACAAGTAACTTTCACGTTTACTGTGGTAGTCAAAGGCACCGATAGGAATACTTTATTTGGATATGCTTTACTGGAGTCAATAAAAAATCGCCACTCCTCTGGGTTATGTTGTATGGCTAGCGGCATCAGACCGGTTACACTTCTACAGACGCACATTGAATTCTGCATATCTAAATATTGAGCAAAACAAGTACCTCTTGATCTAAAACAGGAAATTTTTGTCCTTGGAGCTAAAAGGTTCCGTTGTGTCAGTTTCGCACTTTCGAAAGTTTTAGATCGCGAACCAAACTGTTCAGTTGCTTTTGATAAAAAAGCTGAGCCGAAATGTCAAGAGATTGAGGGCAGTACTCTTCTACATGTTGAGCACCTTCTGATGCACTTGACGTTGGGTCAGCTTCCGTGGTTTGCACGTTGCAGTAAGCAATAGGTAATTGCAATGAAGATACGTTTGGATAAAATGCCCTGTAATATTTGTGAGGAAGAAGAAGTAATAGTCTAAAAAATGACCTTTAGGCTCACACCATACCATAGGAACACCAAATTTCATGGCTCATCGTTTTCCTTTTAACCATTTGGTTAAATCAGTATGCAGGCAATATGAGACGCGAAATTTTTATCTTAATCACCGAATGCACTCCCGTTACAAAGAAAAGAACAAAAATTTTCCAATTGCAAAATGTGAGTTCAAACTGTGATATGATCATAGCTAGACTTTACAAATAGTTTAACGTTATTAATAACGTTATTAATATTTAACGAGTCCAGAATTATGATATTGTTTAGAAGCCGATGTAGATATCTTCTACATCGTGGACCATCAGATATACTTGCTCCTGATGTTGCGGCAATCCTCGCAGAATTTTCTCGTACAAATTAGTGATGGGAATACCGCTCATAATCGTGTCGCTCTCCAGGAACGGTCGCTACATAAAAATACCGTGCCAAAATACCGTGACCTTGAGCAAAAACATAGTTGGTTTCGCAGTAAGTTAGAAAAAATTATATATTCCCATATATTATTATCATAAAATAATATATACAGGGTGCGGCAAAACTCCCTCCCTAATTTGAAAGTTGAATAAAAACTGATGGTACAAATTAACGAAACTGTATTAACATGAATGGAATCTGCAGAATGGGAAGTTACGTTATTATATTTTACAGGTTCCTCTTTTTGAACGGTATATTGCTCAAGTGTTTTTCTTCGTTATCAATGCATTGCCGAATGCGAGTTCGGAAGTTCGCCATTACTCTAATCAACATTTCTTGAGGAATACGAGCAATGTCTTCTTGAATCGTTTGTCGTAGGGCTGGCAGAGTCCTCGGATGATGTTTGTAAACTTCAGTCTTAAGAAACCCCCATACAAAAAAATCACAGGGAATAAGGTCTGGAGATCGTACTGGCTAGTGGATGTTCGCGCAAAGACATCAAGCGTTCTGGAAACAGCTGTCTCAGTTCTTGAAGAGATCTCCTGCTTGTGTGAGCAGTGACCCTGTCCTGCTGAAGCCACACAACCTGTTGAATCTGTATCGCATTGAATAGTGGTGCCATAAAAGTTTGAAGCATTTGAATATATCGATCCGAGTGAACAATCACTGCCACTCCTCCTTCTTCAAAAAAGTACGGGCCGATGATCCCGACACTGTTTATCACTCACCACACAGTAACACGTCTATGCAGACGCTTTTCATGGAGTTCCCGAGGGTTTTGTGCACTCCAATAACGGTAACTTCCGAACTCGCATACTGTTCAAAAAAAGAAAATTGTAAAACATAACATAACTTCCCATTCTGTACATTCCATTCGTGTTAATACAGTTTCGTTAATTTGTATCATCTGTTTTTTACAAAATTTTCGCGTACAGGCAGAGGTCGGATCGTCGTTCCAACCCCAGCATTGAATGTTGGCTTGTATGATTGAGTGAAGGTCGAACGTCGTTAAACATGTTGGGCCAGTACCTTCCTTCTGGTAACATTGGATGTAGATGTTGTTGAGACGTTCTGAACTAAACTTGCTGTACCAGTTGAAGGAGATGGTGAATTAACAGAGATTATTAATTTACGTGCCATTCTGGAAACATTATTGCTCATGCAATTCATTGGTCACGTATGATACGATATTCAGAAATATAACTCAAAGATTTGATTAAGGATAAAACTTGAAGCGTCTAAATTTTATTTAACGATTTCAATGCTGAAGTAACAAAGTTATACTCTTAGCTAGTAATTATCATAGCAATGAAAATATTGTAGTCAAAATAGTCCTTGCCAATCGTTGTAAATAAGCTATAAAAATCTAAATTATTTGGTATCGTAATTGCAGTATTTCCTTCTTTAATTCCACAATATCAACAAGAATGTTTATTTGAATAACCCAATTTCAATTCAATATAAATGACGTTAACCGTGTTTCATTTTTACACCATCGCTAAGTATATCTTCCAGATAGCGCCATCTGGTGAATAATTTATAGGGAACTTACGTGAAGAAATTATTTACATCTTATTTGTTAGATAATACTTATCCGATGAATAACTTATTGAAGCAAATATATCGACTGTAAATTCAATTTCAGTTACTTGAACGCAGATAAGTTGAAATCCATTTCTGTTATTGACAGAAGAAGAGGTTTAATGTTTGTTGAAATGTCCTATAAAATTTATCTCACACATAAATGCATTATGAAAGATTAAATATATCGTTAATCATAAAATTTTTATTGTGGCAGGGTTTTTAATCCATTTCTGTTAATATCATTATAATTGGCGCCAAAATCCACAAATTCCTACAAAAATCGTACATCACTCAATTTCATTAGAAAATTTTGATTCAAGAATTATGATTTCTCGATAATTTGATCTAAAATAAATTTTATCTCGCGATAATAATCTTATTAAATTATCTATTCCCAGACATCTTATAAAATTAATTTATTATTATCTATACAATACAAAAAAAGGCGACTTTATTATTATTATTATATGTCAAGTCCCACTCCTTGTATTGTAATATTCCCCACCTTTTAGATATCCACGGCAGCATTCTCCTGCGGTGTCGAGTAGTAATTTTACTGTCAGTCAGTAAACCGATGCGCCTTGCCTTTAAAGTGTCGACAGTACCGTGGTAGCATAGCACGCGGTATGTAAGAAAAGCCGATTTTAAAACTATAAATAAAGACTTTTCTAAAAATTCTAAAAAGATTGTTCAGTGTTAATTAATAGAAAGTGTTAATTGATAATGTGAAAAATTAATGCTTAATCATGTTGGAATTGATTCGAAAAGCTAATAATTTAGTCAGCGGGCCAACAACTTACACCGCCCAATATATTAATTTGAGGAAAAAGGAAAAGGAAAAACCAGTGAAACCATCGTTAAGTATAACTATAAGACCGAGAAGTTTATTATGTGCCGCTTACACTGAAGATACGATTCATCGAGGGTGTCATAATCAAAGTAATACTTGGAAATTTCATAGACCAAGACCAAAATCAATAAGGTAATTAATATAAACATTGTATTTATTAGCAAAAAGATTAGTTTCGTTCAAAGAATGAAATTCTTTTCTTAGTATTAAATGGAATTACTCATATATGACATTCTTGAGTGGCGTCAATAAAACTTAATTCGTATGGATCCTTTATAGAAATTTAGCAAGTTGATACTCGGAATTGTAGTGACGATCTTACATTTAATAACTTTCAATTGGAATCGTTATCGATATATAGAATAACGTTATTTTTGGGAATAGTATCAATTAGTTTTAAACGATTTGTTTATTGATATCCAAAAATAATTGTTTATTTGCAAAAATTTTATTTTATTAATACCATCATGATAAACACCACATAAGAAAACCTTGATTACTTGAAATAATGTTCACGACATGATTCTAAATGTCGTAGGTAAAGTTTTTCCATTTATATAAGGGTTATTGCAGAATCTTGTGACTTTTAAGATAATCTACAAACACCAAGATTCCATTTCCCCATCACAATTTATTTTTAAGCTTATGAAATTCTTCTGGTTTTCTTTGTCTTTTAATACAAATTTAATTTGCCGTATTATTTTTTATTTAAATTACTAAACTTTAATTCTATATCTCCATTTGCAAGAATTTAAATTTTTCTGTATTCGTATTGCTTATAAATTAGATTCAAATGTGATTTTTTAGCAAAGAATTCTTTAAAATAAATTAAATAGTTGGTGTTACGACAGCGTCCCACTCTTACTGAAAATTCCTGTTTATGTTGTAAACAGTGGCCACATCGCGTTTTGATCTTCAAACATAATTGACATTGAATCTACTGAGTGTTCAGCTTGAAATAGATCCAATCCTAAATCACTTTACTTTGGTTTGGTTACTTTTTTCTCAACATAATCTGAAGATAATGTTCTAGTACATAAAATGGATATAGTAACCTCAGCAGAGGATAGGAAAAGAAAAGTATCTTCGTCTACTAGTTCGGTTTTATCTACGGGTGAAGTATCTAGAGTTTCTTCGGAGAAAAAAATAGAATTTCTGAAACCTCTTCCGAAAAAACATAAGGCAGTCATAAATGATAAGTTAACTAATGACAATGAGATGTTTTTGCAATTCAAAGATTTATTTAGGGATGATATGTTCATTTCCTATGATAATTTTTGTCAATTCATAAGGAACTGTAAGGGTAAACAGGATATTGCTAATATTGTCAATAATTACTGTCAAGATCTGGTATCCCTACATGATTTGCTAATCATGGTTATCCGATGGGTGAAAACTAATGTATTGAAAGGTCGCTTGAAACGTTTGATCAAAAAGGTTAGAACATGTGGTTTAACACCTGACATTGACCTCTCAGATTGTTCATAAGAGGGTTCTTCTTTGGAAGCTTCAACTTACTAAATAATCGTTTTCTATAGTACTGTATTATATTATTAATTATTTTCTTATCAATGGCAATCATAATTCAGTGGAACTGTATTCCATCAAAGGATACTCTAGTTATTGGAAAGATTTTCCAAAAATTCTAAGAGCTAGTAGTGGTGTTGCTATTCTAGTTAATGAATCCATGAAGGCTGTTTCTATCAATTTATAAAGTAACATACAAGCGGTTGCAGTTCGCTTAGTAGTGTCTTTAACATTACTATATGCAATGTATACTTGCCTGACAGTAAGATTATTTTACAAAGGAATTAAAGGAAATTATAGAAGTTAGCATGAAGATTAAAGAAATATTGCACTTAATAGCAAAAAAAATTGGTTAATGTTTTGATAAGGCATTTAAATAGTGTAATTAATAGCCAGAATTGGCATAAAATGCGAATCCTGGAATCCCATCCTTTATCTCGTACTTCCAGCTGAGTTTAAGCCTTCCTTGTTTCTGCCTTCTATACAAATCCTGGAATCCCATCCTTATTATCGCGTCCTTCCAACGAAGTGTAAGCCCTCCTCGTTTCTGCCTTCTATGTAGTTTAGCATACACATTTGTGGCCTACTGCAATCGCATGACCTTAATTCTTGTCATGACATCTGGTTCTTGGTGTTTTTTCATCAGTTCGTATGGTGGATTTTCCTTTCGTAAATGAGCAGAACATCATCTCACCTGCTGATTATCCAAATCTCCGCACTGTGCATAACCACGGTTAGTAACATAAAGGTTTTGTAAATTATTAACTTTGTGTTCCTATTCATGTTACGACTGGAGAGTTGTTTGCGCAACTCATTACAGCATTTGTTGTAATGAGTGCGACCCATCTTTTGCACTACAGTTATTCTTCGAGTTTGTACTGGAACCAAGATACGTCAAGTTCATCACTTCGAAATTTTTAGTGCCGATTGCAAGATTCTCTCCGAGGTCATTCCTCCGTGCTTATTAATACTGAGCAGTTGTATAGATGTGTTTATTATAGTTGCTCAGGTTTCCAGGATAGGTTGGAGGTGAGATCCTAACAAAATACTAATAGCATTAGCCTCTTACAGTAGCATCACTACCCCATTTGAACACTACATTTTATTCTTTTCTTTTAATATTAGTCCACTGTCGTGTTTCGCATAAGTTACACACTATAGACTGAACCAAAATTGCGTACACAGGTAAGTAACAGACAAAGCTTGAAAGTTCTTATTAGATGTTGTGTCATATTCTCCAAACTTCCTCTTTGCACAACATTAGAGTGGCAAGACCACATTTAAGGGGTTATCAAAGGCAAGGAAACATTCAAATGTGTGTTTCCAATGCCCTGTTACAGTGTGGCGTTTTTTGATTCTCACAAAACAAGGAGGAACAATTTCTTCTTATCGTTGAAAGCAAAACGTTCATAGTAGTGGTAGAACGGATATCCGGCCTATCCAGCCATTTTTTAAAATCCGGTCATAAATCACTTTCAGTTCTTGAGAAATACATTTTTGAAATGATCGAATTTTTTCGAATTTTTCAATTTTCGCGGATTAAATTTTGAAAATTCGTATAAACTCCAGTTCTTGGAATATGAGTATGAATATTGCCCAAAGTGTTAATAAAAGTGTCCTCTTTCCAATGAACCAACCCGTTATGAAAAATAACTTTTAGTTTTTAAGAAAACAATATTTGAAGATCTGATAACACTCACGATGTTGCAATTTTCATCGATAACTTGCAAAATTCGCTATAAAATTAATTTCATGAAGGATCCTTGTGGACATATCACCAATTATTAACTAAAGTATCCTCTTTTCAATGCAAAAAGCCGTTTTAAAAAATCACTTTCAGTTCTTGAGAAGTAAATTTTTGAAATAACCGACAATTTTTTCAAATTTTGCAATTTTCGCCGATTAAATTTAAAAAATCCGCATAAAATCCAGTTCTTGGTATATGAGTATAAAAATTGCCCAAAGTGTTAATAAAAGTGTCCTCTTTCCAATGAAGCAACCCGTTTTCAAAAAAAACTTTTAGTTTTTGAGAAAACAATGTTTGAAGTTTTGATAAAATTTTCGATGTTGCAATTTTCATCGATAACTTGCAAAATTCGCTATAAAATCAATTTCTTGAAGGATCCTTGTGGAAATATCACTAATTATGAATTAAAGTATCCTCTTTTTAATGCAACAAGTCGTTTTCAAAAATCACTTTTAGTTTTTGAGAAATAAATTTTGAAATGATCGACAATTTTTTCAAATTTTGCAATTTTCGCCGATTAAGTTTTAAAAATTCGTATAAAATCCAGTTCTTGTAATATGAGTATGAATATTGCCCAAAGTGTTAATAAAAGTGTCCTCTTTCCAATGAACTAACCCGTTTTGAAAAACAACTTTTAGTTTTTGAGAAAACAATGTTTGAAATTTTGATAAAATTTTCGATGTTGCAATTTTCATCGATAACTTGCAAAATTATATATTATATATAAAATTATAAAGTATCCTCTTTTTAGAGTTGCTTCGTTAGTTAAATCAGCATCAAAAATGTTCATTTCGTATCTTGGATCCAAATAAGTTAACATATCTTATCAGCTTTTTTATTAATTTCATTTTTATTAAAATATCGCAATAATGTGGCAATATCCGGTATCCGGCTTTTTGCAAAATCACTATCCGTTCCATCACTAGTTCATAACGTTCCTTCACTAACAAGAATATTGACTGAGAAGAGATTTGTCTAAATCATTAATATTATGATATAAACATTTTTTAATATTAGATAATCGCAATGAATGTTATTAACCACTTCAAACAATCACACAAAAAAAACGATAATATTGTTTATCTAACACACATTTTAACCATACAAACTTAGAGATTGTGTATCAAGGTCATATTTACACGAGGTACTTAAGACGAGAGTAAGTACGTAAGAGAGCCATAACCGTTGAAGTTGACTTGACGAATGAGTTCACGGTCAATAACTGGCAGAAAAAGAACACCGTGCACCGAAGGAAAAAAAATCGCGAAAGTTGTTATGTAACGCCAACAAGAAGCGGTTTATGTCGATGAGTTTGCAATTTATTTTTCTTTTTCCTTCAACCTCTTGCAGATGCACAACTGTGAAAGTCAAGGACTTTTCTTTGTAGCAAATACGTTATAATAACTTTTTGCAAGACCGCAATTAAAGCTAAATTATTTTCAATCGATACCTTAAAGTATTCAATTAATTTAACTCTTAATAAATTTTAATGATGTGGGTTAAAACTTGAAATCCGTAGGAATAATTGAACACAACCCACTTATTGTGTATCATATTTCGATATAAATGCCAAAGTGAACGTGAAACCTGTAAGAATGGAATTAACAGCTACACTAATCCTTTCATTAAAATGTTTTTTACATTATTTATAGATTCTTGCTTTCTAAAAGAAGAGAAATTTAATTTTTTTTTAAATCGCATTAATGACGATTATAATCATTTTAAAGGATTATCAAATTTATACAAATATATACAATGTCTGCTAAAAAGTTAGGTAAAGTTATAAAGTTGTAGATCTTTTGGCTAATTAAACTAAGAAAGCTTGCTGTCGAGGCTCATCGATTATAACATTATATCT